AACTTTCGATCGAACAACTAGCTCTGCTTAGCATGTTTTCGGCACTGCCATTTTGGCGTCATTTTTTCCAAATGTTTGCAAGAAGAAAAAAAAAGACGGAAAAAATAAAGGCACGGGATATGCTCAAATGAGTCCTTTTTTTTTCCCCCTTTTTTTTTTTTGGGTAGAAATATAAATGGCAAAGCTGTCCCATTCATCGAGCCGCTTTGGAAAAGACCTCTCCCAGACGAGCTGTCCACGAATGCTTCCATCCTTATCACCGCCATTGCCATTGCCACCGCCACAGCAGACAAAATAATTCGTAACCTCTTTTATCCCGTCTGGACATATGCTGCATAGATAAGCGTACCATACGTCTGCCTATTTCATGTGTACCTTTTCCCCTCCTAATAACGACAAATTAAGTGAAGTTGTTACCACAAGAATGGTGCAGCCCAACGGCAAAAATACATACCAGTCGCCTATTCAAATGGGCCAAAATAAATAGGACAATCTGTTCAGACATCCTTTAGCTTGTTTAGCCATAGAGGGTATATATGGCCGGGGGGAGGGATCGACCCGCATCGGCATCCATTCCCTGAACGTCATATATTTTGATAACTCCGTTTAAACGCTTAAAAGGTAGAAGAATCTCACCTGTACGGTATGCCCACACAGGGGAGACGCAAAAAGAGAAAAAAAAAAAAAAGAAAAAAAAACGGGCAGGGGAGGGTTAAAAGAACGCACGGAAGGAGAGAACCAATGAGGAACACTACCTCTGCAATGTTATGAAGAACGACGCGGACAGGGGTGACCGCGTTAGTACAGACGCCACTACGACGCATACACGGAAGGTGGAAAACGCCATGGAAACGGGTTCATAAAGTGCGTCTTCCACCTGGCCACCTCCACCGCTAATACACCGACACCGAGTAGTAGTTAAACCCGGACATGTGCTTCTTATCCGAGCAGACGTGAAAATCCTTTGGACAGACGTCGTTCACCGTGAAGCACTTCCCCTTGCGCTTGTTCAGGGGTGTTCGCGTAAACTCAAAAATGAGGTTGAATAAGACCCGTTGTGGACATATATCTATCCGTTTCTTCTTCTTCCCGGAGACGTTTTCCTTTACCATTTTGCGCACATTGATGGAGAATTTCGAATTTTGGGACTCCTCGTGGCCGCAGACCATCCACAGGCCTACAGCTGACTGATCCGTTGGCCCTTGCATGGAGCAAGATGGCTTCCCATACTTGCACGGGTATATAGCGATCGATATAGGGTCATTCGAATTTAGCACACTTATTCCAAATCCGAATAGAATCACTTGATTTTTCTCGGAGCACTCGAGGGTTAGTAAGCCAGTGCCTGATTTTACCTTCTGCTCAAGGAAAGGAATCATTTCTTCATTGCACATGGCGAAGAGGTAGCTATACGCATTGTCGCTCATCTTGGAGTAGCATTTATCCGCATCCTCATCACACGTGTTGATATTGAAATCTTTCAACACGGTTAAATCGTTAGGCACTGAAAGGGAGAAGCCTAAGATAAAATTTTTCTTCTCTTCACATTCGAGTACTATCAGCCCAGTTCCACTTCCATACACCTTAGTGGCTCTCATCAGTTGGTCCTTCACGTTATACCGCTTCATCTCGTCATTTGTTATCTGTCCCAGGTTTAGTGGCACATTCACAGAGATATAAAACTGTAGTGCTTCCTCGTATACCTTGGTTAACCTAATGGGTAGAATTCTAGACAAAGGCTCGTACTCTCCCTTTATGGGCATCGGATTGTCTTTTATACTCTTTGCCCATTTTTCAAAATTCTTTGGATCATTCGGGTCATAAATCGTCGTCCCCCCGATGATAACGGTTTCTTTTTCCATACTCGCATTACTGCTCTGTTCATTACTTGCATCGTTTGAGTTCGTGCTTGCTGAGGCCTTAGCCTTGAATAGGCCGAAACCAGCTGACCCGCTGACAGATACCGATAGCCCACTTTCACTCAACGCTTTGTATTCATTTTTTGATATCTTCACTTGCTGTGTTATTTTTCCCCCCAAATGGATTAAGGTCGAAACATGGGTTCCGAAATTTTTAAAAAAGTACATCCAGGACTCCACGCTGTTGCCGCACTTTTCCGTTTTTCGATTATCTCGGAACTCTTCCACGGTGCAGTAAGTCCCGTCATACTGCAACGAATTAAAGTACGACGGTAGTAACGAAATTGCCCTCACGAACTGATCGCTTAGCTTCCACTGCGAGTACTGAGACAGAGAAGCCACGTACTTAAAGCAGTAGCTTTTCAGCATGAACAGCCGAAATTTCTTCTTCGATATCGTATTGGACACACTCGTATACCCTGTAGATGCGGAAAAAGAACCGAAGAATCCGTAGGATACCCCCATAGACGCATCAACGGAGAGCTCCTTTGTGTACTCACTCATTGTACTTATTTCGCTTTCATTTTCTGACCTATTACACGAAATTTCATTTCGCACGTACGACCCATTTGGATTTATATTGACGTAACTGTCCGGATAATCTACATCTGATTTGGGATAAGTCAATTTTATGATAGAATCTCGGTACCCAGGATCTACCTTCAAGAAGGGATCACCAATTGGGTTTCCAAAAATGAAGTCGTAACCCACCCCTAAGTACTCGGTTCCTTGTATGACCACTGTAGACATGCTATCTTCTCTTTCTTCTTTGTACTTATTATATAAATCCTTTTCCTCGTTCACTCCGTCATAGACAACCACGGTATGGTGTTGATCGTTGTAGATATTTTCTTCACCGATGATGCTATCCTCTTCCTTCACCTTGTTGATCTCCCCAATTCCTTTCATTAGATGCACAAAGTTTCTCACCTTACTGTTTCGGCAACCCTCAGGAGTGGCCTCGCAATCGTCCACATGAGGTGTGGAGGAATTACCATCTTTTCGCACCTCATGGAAGTTGATGCTACGAACCCGATTTCTGCTTTTCCCATCGGTGGAACGTTTCTCCAGAGGCCTTTTTCTCCCTCCTCCTTTTAATCCCCCACTATGTAGTACCTGCTCCTGCTGCAAAAAATGAAGAATGTCACTGTTTTTTATTGGCGGCCTTTTGTTCGGGCCCGCTCCCCCCTCCTTCACACCTGAGGCGCAAACGTGGGGTCTCGCTCTCGCGTATTTCCTGCATACACTGTGAGTTAAGAAGTCGTAAAGCACGTTCGCCACTACCGCTGAGTATATGGCCAGTATCAATGCTCCCCTTTGAAAGGCCATTTTTACCGGGGGTCAGACGGTTATATGTGGACGTTGTGTACAAAAAACAAATGTGGGTAGCATCAGCAAGGTAGAAATTGTCACTTTGCCTATGCCCATTTCGAATTGTTTAAAAAGGGGGATGTTAACCCCTTTAACGGGGGAAAAATATAATTTAAAAAGGTGAAGAGATTCCTTAAGGGACTCAACCCGCTCGTGCAGAAAAAGAGGTGTAAACTAAAAGGTGTAAACTGAAAGGTGTTCACAAATCGGAGCGACTGATTACGAACTATCAAAGGAACAATCTCAGCGGGACAGAGTTAGATCGATACGCCTAAACTCATCCACATGTATCTATCAGTACGATTTACCTTGCAAAATTGGGGAGAACAAAATAAACTTTAATTCAGCAAATGAGGAGACGTCCAAATTGGTTGTTCTTTGGGGGAAAACACAAATGTGCACAATTGCTCTTTAAAGT